CGTCAAAACCGTCTGGTAAGTGTGTTCACAAAAATGTTTAAAACCGTGTACAATTGTTTCCAATAAAAACATATGTCGTTATAGGGTATTATGTACATGCAACAAGACGTTTATTCCAAAATACTAAGCAGCATTATGAACGGCGATAACAAGACTACAAAAATGTATCTTAGGTTGTCCTCTGCTTCGTTTCGAAAAATTGTAACTCACATTCCCAAAAAGCGCCACGGATGGTCAGTGGAGTACGAAGTCATTTGCTTAATAAAGTCTTCAAATTATTTATATTGTTCTTACTCACTTCCAGCCTTCGTTGCTGTTGGCGTCCTTTGAACTGAACCAAACATCCTTGTCAATGCGCTTTTCCAGAAGGATTCTGCGTTCTGAACTGCTCCCTGTAAAATAGTATTTTTAATTAAAAAAATACATAACGCCTTTTCATATGTAAATCTGAAATTAAATCTTACAAGTTATATAGCTTTTCTTTATTTTTTTTTGCCGGCGGGACCATGTTCTTTTATTTCCACTCGCTTTTGTTTTCTCTAATTTATGTGTATACGTGCGTTGTTCGTTCTTCTTCTTGATAATGCTTGCTGTCAAATTTTTCACTAGCCCTGCCGTATCAAACATTTTTATTCACCTCATAGCTGTCAAAAATTTACTATCCAGAGAACTTTTCTATCAATTGGCACAGGCCCAAATTGTTAAATGCCGTCAGCAAATAAAAAAAGAGCTGCGGCCATGTTTTTTTTCATTTCATTTGATTATTTCTATCATCGGTCACTTTTTCTTAAGGTTCTTTATCGCCGCGAGACCATATGTGCGGCGAATTCATTTACGAAAATGGATGTTAAAACGGACGCGAACTCCTCATCTCAACCTTTCAGACCTCACTCGCCGACTTTAGCGAGTTGTCGCTTCTTATACATTTACGTTCTTTGCACATGCAAATTGTTAAATGCCTTCGACAAATAAAAAAAAAGAGTTCCGGCCATGTTTTTTTTTGTCATTTCATTTCTTTATTTCTATCATCAACCACTTTTTCTCCACGTTCTTTGTCGCCGCGAATCCAAATGTGCGGCGAATTCATTTACGAAGCTTGATGTCAAAACGGACCCGAATTCCTCTTGCAAACCTTCTAGACTCACTCGCAACACTTCAGCGAGTTGTCTGTTCTTATACATTTACGTTCTTTGATTCTGTCAAAATCACAAAGAGCGGATTAGCGGTACCGTGATTGGCGCAATCTCTATTTCTCTCAATCGTGGTTTGAGCGGTTAGTCTGCGTTCAAACACGGAAACTCGAGTTTCTTATTATCGGCGATTTCTCTTTTGGTGTTGCCCTTTGCATTCACACACAGAAACTCTTTTGTACGCAATTGTTGTTGTCAGCTGTGAATCGCCAACTTGAATTACTCAGACGAACGAGACCACAAAGCGTTCGGGCGACTCGGTACCCGTCCCCTTTCCTCGTCGTTCTCTCCCCTACAAGCTTCGAGTTTCCGCAACAAAAGTTTTCGTGTCTGAACGTCGACTAATGAGTATCGTTCACTTGTGGTGGCTGTATTTGCAGCTCAGTATATCCAGTAAACTACATAAACGAAAGGCACAAGATCACGCCTTCCCGAAAGAAAGAAAAAAGTTATTTTCTAGCTGTTGAAATCTCGACGCCATCTTTGTTGTAAGAAGTAAACAACGAAGAGAACAAAAAACAACGCGTAATTGTTGAACGCATGAATAATCATTTTTACAATGCAAATTCTTCTATAAATCATGTCGTTGTGTTAAATTATTCTTTACCTTACGTGTGCACACGTTGTCACAAGCGAAAATGAAGAAAATTGCAGTAAAAAGCCACCACCAAATTATAAACAACGAACAAATGTAAACAAACGGCTAATGTCAAAGTCGCCCAACTTTTTTCCTAAATGCGATTATAACGGGCTACTAAGAAGAAGGCGTGATCTTGTATTTTTGGTTCATGAGTAAACAAACTTAGCAACTTTTTTCCACCAAATTAGGTCCCCATAAAGGACTAGTGTTGGAAGTAACGCTTTTTCGTCAAAAAGGGTGTTGTGCAGCAATTTTATGTGGTGAAAATTATTTTAGCATTGGAAAAATGGATAGAAAAATTGGACATCTAAGGTTTAGCTGAAATATAAATGTATTAAGAATAATTGTTTTTCTAATAAATACTTTTTTTATTTTACTGTGTCGAGGTCGTTGAACAAATATTTGTAATTTAGTATTTAAGTTAATTGTGAAATATATTGAATGCACAAATTACGTTATGGGAGCGATTTATTCATAGAATTGGAAATAAGGTTGATGATATACTTTAAATAAATTGTGAGTCTGCGAAAATATCTTTTCAGCATATGAATATACTTCTTAACATTTTCCCGAAATTTTATCACATTTGGCGTATACGACAAAATTTTATTAAACTCATAAATGGTTGACAGTAAACTAAAAAATAAGATAATTTAAGAATTTCGTGAACTAGTACATAGCGTTCTCCGACACTTTGGAGAAAATATGTAGTCGAGTTTCTGAGAAATGGCATTCCAAACTTCAATTGTGATTTCCCGAAACCTGCCGAAAGTAACATGCAACGATCTTTTATCTAGGCGACGATATAACATTTAGCTAAAACACGCATCTAAATAAATTATAAATGTCATTATTTTCACAGTTGAAGTATATGCCAGGCGAGTAACAGGTAAATACATACATATGTA